TGCAGAACATCCTCAAATCAAATACCATCATGACTTTGCTTCTGAAAGTCTATTCTGGAAGCATCTTCCTCCAGCAAACCCGAAGAGGAGTGTGTCTTTGTCTACGTATGGCTCCAGAGGTCAGCCCACTGCACAGACACCACAAACACTTTAGAGCCCACTCGTGACCTGCCAAAACATGCCCGTCAGAAGGATCCTGAGCTACTGGGTATTTCAGCTCATTTACAGGACAGCTAAAAACTGTGTGTCGTTTGTAAGCTCTAAAACTCCTGTTAGCTTTACAAACACGTTTAAACTATTACACACTCCACATCTGCTTTATCACGAAGGACTCACACGCTGAGCTCCCACACACAAGAGAGTGATGCCATCTCTCAACGTAAGTAATGAGCTCCAAAAGCGCATGTTGTCCGTACACGGAAAGCATACGCGGACTAACCTGGTTCTGATACGTGGATTCCACGGTGCTTTCGCACTAACGGAAGCCAGCAGCTCACACGCTCAGCGCGGAGACTGAAGTCCGCACACAAAGGTGCTGGCCGCACTGAGAGTGCGGGGCCCGAGACCGCGGGGCGGCCAGCACGCGCGCGGGAGCCCCAGTCCTACACCTGGCCCCAGAGTCACCGAGGGCTGTAAAATCGCACCATCCATCTTTCTACATGGTAACACTTTAACATTATGAACAGTTGACCTTGATCCCTACAGAGGAGCCCGGGTTTTAAAAAGGAACCTAAAGTGAGTATCGTTGCCCGGACGTCTGGAACGACTGCAGACAGGACACCGGTTCCACTCTGTCCGTCCCAGGGAAAGTGCTGGACTGGCCACAGCAGGCCCTCCTAACACCTCCCGGCGACCTGTGCGCGCCCCGCTACTTGACACACGGCCTGTTCTCCCGGCCACAGTGGCCTCCCCGGGCCCCAGCACGCCTTACCTCAGAACAAAGCGGCTCTGGGAGGTTGAGAGGGGCCAGACGGATGCAGCTATCAGACAGATGGCCACTCTCCTTGTCTAGAGAAGATGAAATGCTAAAGGAGAAAAACCAGAGCGGGTTTTGTCCTAACCAAAGGAGGCTACAAATCCCATTGGCCTCAGGTTGGAAACCTCGTGACATGGGACCGGGCACATGTGACCTACTTTCGCCCAACTCCCCTCACTCCGTTGGAGGGGTGCACCCGGCACTGATGTGCTGTCATTTCAATGACTCCTTCCCCACACAGGGGCCAGTGCACAAGTGTGCGCGCCTGCAGGCCACGGACCTCGGCAGCGGCTCCGGGAGGAAGGCGTGGGCGGGGCCGCAGTGATGGAAATGCAGCTCCCGGGCCCTGAGCTGTCGCTGCCGCTCTCAGCCGTCCGCTGCTTTCGGCCCCGCACGGAGCCGGTCCCGCCGACACACACACACACACACACACACACACACACTTGGTCCCGGAGCTGCACGATGAGGTGCCTGAGGCGGCGCCAACCGCCAATTCTCTCCTTTCCCCATTTTTTTTCTTTGTCACCTGGAGCTGCCGGGTCCAGGCCTGAAAAGCCAGCCGCACACATAAGCTTGGAAATGCGTGAGCGCTGCGTGTCCTGGAGAGCCATCCCGAGGTGGGCTCCGGTGTGGGCGGCACCGGCAGGACGGCTGACTCGGCCCGCGAGAGGTGGCTGGTGGTCCGTCCACCCGCCCGAACGGGCACCGAGCAGGAGAAAGCCACCCTCGGTCCACCTTGTACTTATCACCGTAACTCACCACCTCACGTGAAATCAGATGCGGACACGTGATAAAAACACAGATGCAGAGAGGAACCGCTGGCTATGAAGACAGGCGGGGGCTCTCCAAGCCACACAGGTGCACGGGAAGTAGAGGCCTGCGGGTCCTACTGACCAAGGTCAGCCTGATTGTACAGCACGGAGAAGAAACTTAAAGGCAGCACAAATATCGGATGCTCACTACAGACAAAGATAGAAAATGCATTTCTGCAAAAAATCACCTGTAATATCATTACTCAGGGAGACCACCTGATAGTGGGACACTTCGAGGTCCGCCTAGTCAGACTTTTCTCTAGTACGTGTGCGTCACTGTATTTTTACAAAAATAGGACCAAACCACCCACATTCATCCTGTTATTCTCATTTAACATTACATATGAAATATTTTTATGTCAATATATTTAAATCTACATAACCGCGATCATACTCCCCGTGGTATTCTCACTATTCTTATCACGCATAACATTTTACGCACTTGTATGTAGAAGAGCGTAACCGGTCCGCAATGCCTGTATTCCCAGGTTTTGAACTGTCGTATTAAAGAATGTCCTCACAATAATCTTTGGGTGGACCTCTTTCTGCCCCTCTCGTATTTCCTTGGAAAACACAGTTACAGATATAATTCCTGGGTGGAAGGACACATGTACTTGAAGCTTGGCACAAAGTGGCAAGCCAGCCGTGACAGGGGCCGTTCCTGTGCTCCACCCCCCCCCCCCCGGGGCGGCCTCTGTCATCAGGGCCCCACGGAGCATGGAGTCCCCGGGATGTCAACCGCTCGCAGCCAAGCGAGGAGGGTGCTGAAAGCCAGCACAGCCCTTGCTGCATATCTGGCGCTGCTGGCTAATTCCCGCCTTGCAGCAGGTCCCCGTCCAGGACTGTCCTTATTCCCTGACGGACGGGAAAGAGCAGCACGGTCACACGTGGCTTGCTCCCGGTCACAAGGCCCAGGCCATCAAAACAGGCTCTTGCCCACCGGGCGGCCGACGCGTCAAGTGCTGCTGAGAGCCGGGGTGGGGGTGGGGACTGAACGCTGGCTGGGGGTCGGCCCGGGTCAGGCCTTGGACCTTGCCAGGCAGGTCTGGTGCATGGTGAGCAAGTGGTGATGGCCAGGCCAGCCGTTCCGTCCGGGGCACAGAGAGGTGGGTGGTCGTCATGTGCAGGCAAACTGCCAGGGGGCGTGCCTGTCTGGTGTGCGTAGGAAGCGGAGAGAGACCGGATGGAAAGGAGACGGTATGAAGGAGGGACACAAAGGACCAGGGTCACCAGCCACAGAGGAGCTGAGGGTGTGGGGGCCACAGAGGAGAAGAGGGGGTCCAGCTTAGAGGTCCAGAGAAACCAAGGGACAGGGGCACCCCGGCTGCCAGGGGCAGAAGTGAGGATGTGACCTCGGGCAGTTTCCGGGTGGAGGGCGCGTGGCAAATGGGACGGGGGTTGAGGGTTGAGACCCCCCCACCCCTGCTCGCACCACATCTCCCTGGAGTCGGCCAGCCGTGGGCACCCTGCGGGTTCGGGTTCACTGGGACGTGTTGGGCTCAGTGGCCAGTCACCTCCCGGATGGCCATGTGTTTCTGTTTCAATGGATTCCACCTGCTGCGTCTGCAGCCACGGCCCGTGCCTGACATGGGGTCAGAGGTCCAGACCATCTAGCACACAGGTAGGTGGCAAGCATGGCCAGGCAGAGGGCAGGGCCCATCCGCACGAGCTGGAAAGGAGGCAGACAGCCCTGTGGGGGCCCACCGCCCCAGCTCCCAGCTTTGGTGAGAGCCTGGTGCTGCTACTGGCCTGTCCTCCACAGAACCCCGGTCGGCCCCGGCTCTAGTTTACATAACTGGCCTCACTCTTGACCACAGCCTGGGACACACCAGTTGTGACAAAGGCAGTTTCTCATCCGGCTCGCGTCCAAATCCAGCAGAGTTCAAGTCCACTGTGACCAGTCACTGACATTCAGCCCGACCGGACACCTGGAAGGTTAAATGGTTTTAACCATCCTCAGTGGGAACAAAAGAAAAGAGCAAAACGACACAGGACACAGGCTTACAGAACTGGGTCAAGCGCCACGGGATTAAAATGCTGAGCTGCAATTAAAAAACAAACAAATTCAGACAGACAACATGTGGGCAGGGCAGAGAGAAGCTGGTACCGAGAACAATGAAAACATTCAGAAAGTCGGTGAAGAGCTCAGTGTCCCTTACTATTAAGTTGTGACGTTTACAAAACGCTCGTGTTTCTTTGACAACCACCTGGGAGGTACGTTAATTCAGAGCCTATATGATGTTTGTGTCGTGAATCTAGATTAATAAGTCACACAGCTTAAAGATTTTCGATGGCCACCTCTGTGTCTCTGGGTCAGTAAAGCACACTGGAATGTATCCTTGAGGCCTCGGCAAAGCCCGTGTAACATCAACACACGGATGAATAAACTACAACCGGCTTGGGGATGACCAAGGCACGTGTGCCATGGAAGGAACCCGAGGCCTCGATCTGAGGCCGGAGAAAGCCCGTCCTGCAGGCTCAGAACCTGTAAGGCCCGTCAGAGAGTACTTGGACCTCAGGGTGCTGGAGTGCACAGGGGCACAGAGCACACATGCTCTCGCACCTGTGCACACACCCCTACACTCCTGTCTACACGCACACCCGCTCTGCACACATGCACACCCACCCACGCCCCCACGCTGCCTACGCGCTCCTACACGCACACACACGTGTGGGACACACACGCTCCTGTACCCGTGCGCGCATGCCCCTACCCCTGTCACACACACACCTGCCCGTGCACACCCACACCCAGGGTGCCGCACGCTCTCGCACACGGAGGGACCGTCATAGGGCCAGGCTCGCATGCAGTGCTCAGCACGGGGGCCTGGCACGTGGCTTGCATTCGTTTATGACACAAATAAACAAAGTGACAACAGACCCAGCTCTTTAGAGTCCCCACCCGGCATTCTTTACAGAGTGGTGGCAGGAGGGCCGGGAGGGGTCAAAGCAGGGACCACTTAGGGGAACATAGTTCTCAGGGTTCCTGCACTCCTCCTACATTTAAGAGAAAAAGCTATGGACAAATGCTCTGCGTCAGCTTAGACTGCTTCTTCAAACTCCACCTCAGGGCTCAGCCAGGAAAGCCATTCCTACACGAAGAGGGTCAAACACCTACCGCCTCACTGCTCTCGGGGCTGAGTCTGACCTTGTTACCTGCGTTCCCGGTACACTGACAGACGGGCAGACAAAACATATCTGCAGTCACTCACCTTCCCCCATAAGCAGGCTCTAAGAGTCAGAGCAGGTCCATAGACAGCAAGTGTTCAGACTTACTGTGACTTAGAGCATCACAGCTGGAGCTGGTGACAGGCAGGGCCGACTCGTCCGAGGCTCACCTACCTGAAACACAGAACACAAGCATGTGAGTGTGCACAGTCATGACCTTGCCCGTTAGGACCGAGCTTCCACAGACCTGTTTCTTGCACTTGACAGAGCAGTAGACGTGTCTTAAGCATTCAAGTAGAAGGCACGTGCGAGAAACAGAGACGAAACGCCCGGGAGAACGTATCCTGGGAACACTGCCCTATCCGCCCCCAGTGAGGCAGCTCTGAACATGAGGAGGCTTCCGTTTTATAAGTGAGAAGTCCAAAATAAGCTATTTGGTAAAACTCTACCAACTTTTGAGCACGTAAACGAAACAGTCCACCTTCCACTGACCACGTCTGGTCCCGTTCTCTCCCTCTCCCTCCCGCAACACTGATTTACGAACATTCATGAAATTGCACATTAACTGAAATGCACTGCTGGCTTTCACCCTCACAGGAAGTGTGCTCATCCGTCGGGGCACACACTGTCGTCCAGGCAGAGCTGCTTTCCTCACCACCAGTGTTTTTCCAGACAGCCTCAGTTTCACCTGGCTCCAAGTTTCCTGAATTTTTACTTTCTGAATTCACTTTGGTTGCCCAAACTGGGAATCTAATCCCCAGTCACAAGTAGCTATTTTCATACATAATCCTCTTTGCTGTGTTATAACTCTATCCCATAGGTGTATACTTTGACCTCCCTGAATTATTGTGATAAACATCTTAAAAGGCTTATTTATAACAGCATCCAACACTTGGAATTGTGAGGTCATGGCACCAAAAATAATTAGAAACCTATGTTCAAGGTCTTTGCTTTTCTCTAAGTCAATCAGGCAAGCACTTTAGGCAATAAACCACAGCACTGAGTGACTTTCTTCCAAACTCAAAGGTCCTATCTGGGCAGAACACCGACGTTCAAAACAAAACAAACTGGAAAACACCAAATGCAAGGAAATTCCATGAAAAGTACTGTTGAATAGAACCTGCGTCTTCCATATGGGCACACAGCGTTCTCAGTTGGAATGACACTCACACATGAGTGCAGGAAAAGGTTCAGTGTGTTACTGATCGGACGGCCAGAGAGGCGGTGTCTGCCGAGTTAGGTCTTAAGGTCAGTCGGTGGGAATTCATCAGAAAGCAATGGAAGTATTTAAACAGAGATGTCATGACAATTCAACGGGGGAAACAATGGTCTTTGCAACATGTGGTGCTGGGACAACTGGACGCCCACATGCAAAGAACGAACCTCACAACATACAAACACTGAGTCAAAATGGACCAAAGACCTAGGCTTAGGTGCTAAAACTACAACGCTTAGAAGAAACCCTCGGGAAAAATCTTTATGACATTGGATTGGGCAATCCCAGGTGTGATTACAACACCAAAAAGCACAGCAACAATGACAAAACACAGATAAATCGGATTCCACCAAAATTAAGAACGTTTGTGCATGAAAGGGGACTAACGAGAGAGAATACAACCAGCAGAATAGGAGGAAATCTTGCAAATCATGTATCAGAGAAGAGTACTATCCAGACCACAGACAGAACTCCTGCAACTCAACAATAAATACATTTTTTAACGTGCAAGGACTTGAGTATGTATGTGTCTAAGGAAGATGGACGGACGGCCAGATCAGCACGTGATGCTCCACCTCATTAGTCACTAGGAAAACGCACAGCGAGGTCCACTTCATACCCACTAGGATAGCAGTGCCGGTAAGAATGGTAGCAGTGATGACATCAATAATAACGAGGAGGAGGAGAAGGAGGATGGGGAGGAGGAGGAAGAGGAGGAGGAGGAGGAAGAGGGGGAGGAGGAGGAGGAGGAGGAAGAGGGGGAGGAGAAAGAGGAGGAAGAGGGGGAGGAGGAGGATGGGGAGGAGAAAAAGGGAGGAGGATGGGGAGGAGGAGGAGGAGGAAGAAGGGAGGAGGAGGATGGAGAGGAGGGGGAGGAGGTGGGAGGAGGCGGGAGGAGGTGGGAGGAGGGGGGAGGAAGTGGAGGAGGAAGAAGAGGAGGAAGAGGGGGAGGAGGAAGAGGGGGAGGAGGAAGAGGGGGAGGAGAAGAGGAGGGGAGGAGGAGGAGGAAGAAGGGGGAGGAGGAGGAAGGGGGAGGAGGAGGGGGAGGAGGGGAAGGGGGTGGAGGGGGAGGAGGGAGGAGGAAGTGGGGAGAAGGAGGAAGGGGGAGGAGGAGGGGGAGGAGGGGGAAGGGGGAGGAGGAGGAGGAGGAAGAGGAGGAAGAGGAGGAGAGGGCAGGAAAACAGGAAATCACAAGTGCCAGCCAGGATGTGGAGAAACCAGACCCTTCGTTCTATGCTGGTGGAAATAGAAAATGGTGCAGCCATGTTCAACATAGAGTTACCGTATGACCCAGCGATTCCACTCCTAATGAGAGTGAGTCTCATTTCATGAGAAATGAAAACGTGTTCACCCAAAAACGCGTACATGAGTGTGCGCAGCAGCAATATTCATAATAGCCAAAGAGTGGAAACAGCCCAAATGCCCATCGGTGGATGAATGTATAGACACGATGTGGTCTGGCCACACAATGGAATATCATTCAGCCACACAAAAAGGAATGAAGCCTTCATAACACAACAGGGGTGAACCTGGAAAACGTGATGCTGAGTGAGAGGAGCCAGGCACAGAAAGCCGCACCCTGGACACCCCCGTGCAGATGAGGTGTCCACAGAGACAGGGCGCAGACTCACGGTTCCTAGGGCTGAGGAAGGAGGGGCACAGGGCCAGTGATGTGACTAGCGACGTGTACGGGGCTTCCTTGGAGGCGATGACGTGTGCGGTTGTCAGCGGTGATCGCTGCGCACCTGGTGAATATACTAGAAACGGCTAAAATGTACACTTTAAAAGTGTGGATTTTATGATATGTGAATTATGTTCAATTAAAAAAAACCAAAGGCAATATATACTCAAAAGTTTAAAACACAGCAGTGAAAGGAACCTCTCATGAAACGTGCAGAACGTGTCTACCTCCGCTCTTACAGGAAGTGCACGTAAATAACACTCGCAAAATCAAAAGGCACAAACTCGTAAGGACCGAAAAATCAGGAGAAGAGAGGACAACCGACATGAGCTGTCAACACAACACTGGAATCTGGAAAGTGGATGAAAACGTGCTAAATAATTTGGCTAAGCCAGGAAAGCTGAAACCCAAGCCATGAGGAATTCATGCAGGATTCTAGAATGGCTCCAAAGGCAAATCGTGGCTACAAGGTAAGAGCTGCAGGCCCCCAGAAATCCTCTGGCTCTCCTCTTTCACGACAACTGGAGGATTCCCCTCTGCAGAGGGGACCGTCAGGATACAGACCCAACCACAAGCAGGTCTGAAGACAGTGAGAGGCCACATAAAAACCGGGAGAAACAGATGGGAGGAGAACTCCTGCCCCCTCCCCCAGCGGCTCTCAGAATTCCAGCAGGCGGGTGAGCAGGGGGTAAGGCACATGCAAGCAGCAGAGACAGCGCCTCTGATGACAACGCAATAAAACCAGAAATCAGTGACCTTTACCCAAAGGACATCCCATCCGCAATTCACATCGTTTTAGGGAACTAGTCTAAATTCGTATCCAACTTCATACGTAAAGGGAACCAGTCTATCAAGGTAGAGAGCCCTGAAATGTCCCTAGGTTGGTAAGAAACACAGGGGGGCCAGAAATCTCTGAAGTGGCGTGACAAACAGCCCCATTCATGCAGTGACCCACTTCTCCCGACGTCACAGCACTCAGGGAGCCGGGACACCAGGCATTCCGTGGAGTTCCACAGAAATCCAGGAGGAAACACGCTGCAGTTGCCCGTCCAAGACACAGCCGGCGTTGGGAGGGAGGGAGCCGGGGGTGCCGTGAGGGACGTGCCTCCTGTCACCTCCACGCCTTCCCTCCGGAACGACCCACTTAGCAACAACAGAAGCCAGGGTCTTACTGAGCAGGCCGCCACAACAAATCAGCTTCAGAGGCCGAGTGCCGCCGGGCGTCCCTGGCCTCCTGGGCACCGAGCAGACAGCAGCAGCCCGTTCAGCCGCACACTCCACACGTGCACACACACTCACACGCGCTCGCACACACGTGCACCGGGGCTAATCAGCTCACGCTGCTGTCTGTGCTCAGAGAAGGGACTGGGCTTCTCCAGAAGGCGACGTCAGACTCTTGAGAGGCAAAGTGCTCTCCTCCCTTCCTCCCTGCCCACTGGCCTCCACTGCGCTGGCCTCTTGCCGGCAGCAGGAGTGCGGGAGAGGGTGAGGAGGGGACAGGGCGGAGGGCGGGAGTGGAGGACACACCAGGAACCACCCTGGGAGGGGGGTTAAGGCCACTGAAAGAATGGGGGGGGGGTCTGGGGAAGACGGGGGTGTGTGCGGGCTGTGAGACAAAAAGGCAAATCAGACAAAAACGATAAACCCCGAAGTTTTCACACAAGCAGCCTGGCCCTCTGTGGCCCACAGACCGGAGGGGAAGAGGGACAGGAGAAAAGCCGGGAGAAAGTTCAGGAGGCTCAGCCAGATGCAGCCAGAGATACCGTGGGAGTCCACGTGAGAGGGGAAGCCCTCAGACGCCAGGAGGGCCCAGAACTGGGGGTTCAGTCTGATGGAGAACCCAAGCGGACCCGCAAGCTGCCTCTCTCACAGGTGCCAGCACCCCAGCAGCTGCGCCAAGATCCGGGGAGGTCGCAGTAGGGACGCGGACGCGCGCTGTGTGTGCCTGTCACCTTGCGCCCCGCGCCCGGAGGCTGTGCGCTCTCCCAAAGCTCTCGGGGAACAGAACAAAACTTGGCGATGCTCTAACTCATGGGGCAGATTTCAACAAATTTTGAAGATGCGGAATCCACAGACTGTGCTCTCCACCCACGAGGCAATTACATTAGAAATCATTAGCAAAGGATAGCTTTATAATACCTCTGGACCTAACATTTTTTAAAAAGCTTCTGAATAATAAATGGATGGACTGAACCAATGAGATTAGAAAATAACTAGACCTGGGGCGCCTGGGTGGCACAGTCGGTTAAGCGTCCGACTTCAGCCAGGTCACGGTCT